TTTTGATTTGTCCACATTGGGTTTGGGGGGTGTCGGTCGCGGAAAACGGACACCTCCCTGGACAAATTCGGTTTTGGCGCATTCGGCCAGTATGCGCTCGCGGGAAGCGACTAAGGCCGTGTACTCTGTGAATCGGCCGGCAGGGCCGCGTGGTTCGCGTTGTTCGCGGGGGCGATCTTCGCGACGGCGGTCCCCTCCCCGTCGATGGCTCGAGGCTCCGTCGTCTCGGCGCCCGCGAGGGGCCTCCCTGTCTCGGGTGTCTCGAGCGGAGTTGGCCGCTTGTGTTTCTTCGAATCGGATATAATGCGCGGCTCTGTCGAGGAAATCCTGGAGGGAGGTTGGCCGGTGTATGCCTACGGCCTCGTAGAACTTGGAGTCGTGGCGTAGACCCTGCTCCATTAAGTAGCGCTTCATCTCGTCTGACGATGTCACTTGCACTGCTTCCCGGGTGAATCTTTCGATGTACTTTCAGAGAGGTTCGTCGGGGCCCTGGATTATCACCCCGAGGACGGCTTCCGTCTTCGGGTGGCGCCGGGACGCCGTAAAGTGTTTGGAGAACAGGTCCTTCAGGACTCTCCACGATGTAACTGATTCGGGCTCCAAACTTTTGTACCAGGTCATGGCGCCTTTCCTCAGGGTCGTCGGGAATAGTCTGCACTTGATAGCTCCCCGGACGTTTCGGTAATCGAGCATGGCTTCGATGTCCTCTAGGTGATCGTCCGGGTCGGATGTGCCGTCGTACGTCGATAGCGTCGGGGGCTTCTCCATCCCTTGGGGTATGGGGGCAACCATAATTTCTCGGGACATCGGGGTGCGATAGTCATCCTCGTCGCTGGGAGCCGGGGACCGATGGGGAGACGAGCCGTTCAGAACAGGCCCCTGGTTTCGGGTTCTCGACCTCCTGCCTGGGTTTTCGCCGCGAGGATCCCTGGCCGGGATCGCCGCAGTGTTCTGGCGCCTCTCGCGAACTTGTCTTGCTGGGGACCTGGTGCGTTCTTGCACCACCTGTGTGCGGTGTCTCTCCAGCCGCGGTCGGCGATTTCTGGGTCGAGGTGAGGGACTTCTCGAGCCTCCGTTCTGGTCTTCCCGCGGGGGGGACCTTGGAGGGTCGACGCGCTCCAATGCTCCAATCCTCGCGTTTTGCTGGAACAACAGCTGGTTCGTCTGGTTGATGGCCGTAAAGAGGGCGGCCACCGTTGGGTCTGCTCCCGCCGGGATGGGAACAGGTTGGAATGTTGCCGGGCTCGGGGGCCGGTGGTCGGCCTGAAGGAGCCGCTCTGCGGATGACAGTGAGGCAGTTTGGCCGTCTCTCTCGTCAGTTTCTGCCGGACGCGACGTTTCCATCTGCTTGTTTCCGTTGGTGGCGACGTTGAGCACAAAGTCGTGCGGAGTGTCATCGCGGTGTGGGCTAGCCATGATCGTGGAGTGTTGGTGAAACATGGTTTTCTGCTCGGAGTAACGGGGAAGTTTCTGTTCCCACAGACGGCGCCACTGATCTGACCTGATCAGAAGGGGATCACAGAATGGCCACTCGCTGTTGGACTGCTATCTGTTCGCCGAGGATGAGGAGGAAAAGGGGGTGTACCTGCAAAATACTCTGATGCCGAAGTGAGAAATTGGGCAGAGTGAGAGCAAAGTACAGAAAGGGCGAGATGTGAATTACCTGACCCTCTTGAGGAAGAGGGTATTTATAGAGAGACCCCAGCGCTGGGCCAACGGTCACTTGCGTTGGGCTGGATTGTCAGGCCCAACCCAGATGACTGCTAAGGCTTACGTGGCGTAGTGAAGACCAGGACGTGGTCTTCGCCCTAGTCCAGCTGCTCCTTGATCTCCGGAAAGTGGGTTTGACCTGCTCTTTCGGAGGTGGGAAGTTGGTTGCTGACGTGTCCCCGCGGAGGGGAGCACGTGGAGAGCATGCGGCTGGCACGTTGTTCTCCCCGTGGAGGGGAGCTCGGGAGGTTCCCAGAAGGCGCGTTGTTCTCCCCGCGGAAGGGGAGCACGCAAGGACGCGGGAGAGCCATGCGGTCTTGCTCGATGGACCCGGGATGCTCTCTTCGGCCGAAAAAAGGGGGCGTTGAGGACGCTACGGGATGTGCCGTCCTGCTCGACGAGGAGCGTGCCCTGCCCGTTCTATGAGGGTGTGTGCCCGGTCAGGCTAGTTCACTCAACGGGCCTTGTGCGTTATTGGGCTGGACCGCGAGGCTGGGCCCAGACCAGAACACACACACACACACACACACACACACACACACACACACACACACACACACACACACACACACACACACACACACACACACACACACACACACACACACACACACACACACACACACACACACACACACACACACACACACACACACACACACACACACACACACACACACACACACACACACACACACACACACACACACACACACACACACACACACACACACACACACACACACACACACACACACACACACACACACACACACACACACACACACACACACACACACACACACACACACATACATACATATATATATATATATATATATATATATATATATATATATATATATATATATATATATATATATATATATATATATATATATATTATTTTTTATTTTTACTTTTTTTTACATATTAATACAATACTAATAGCAAATTTATTTATTTATTTACTTTTATTTTTCTATGGTAAATAACTTAAAATTTTAATTAATGTATAATTAATAATATATTGAATTCAATAAACAATAAAAAAATCTTTAAATATAACAAATAATAAAAAGTGCAAGAAGTAATTATTATTTATTATTATTATTATTACTACTGTTGTTATTATTATTATTATTATTATTATTATTATTATTAATATTATTATTATTATTATTATTATTATTATTATTATTATTATTATTATTATTATTATTATTATTATTATTATTATTATTATTATTATTATTATTATTATTATTATTATTATTATTATTATTATTATTATTATTATTATTATTATTATTGATGTCTATCCACATCCATATTATTAATTTTTTTATAAGATGCTATGCTAGTTATTGTGGAGTATATTATTATTATTATTATTATTATTATTATTATTATTATTATTATTATTTTTATTATTATTATTATTATTATTATTATTATTATTATTATTATTATTTTTATTATTATTATTAATAATGTCTATCCACATCCATATTATTAATTTTTTTATAAGATGCTATGCTAGTTATTGTGGAGTATATTATTAATATTATTATTATTAATGTGATAGTAGTATCCACTAGTGATAGCAGGGTAATATGCGTAGAAAATTAGAAAATATTGTTTTTGGAAATATATTTATGGAATTTGTTTGGAGATATATTTTTAGAATAAATGTATTTATAAAATTGAAATTTGATTCAAAAATGAAAATGGCGCATTAGGAGATATATTTTCAAAATTGAGGACATTTTAAAAATTTTATATGGTGCATAAAAAATATATAGGGTGCAATAAAAAACCATGTATAATTATTATACTTTTTAAAACAAATTACAATAAATGGAATGAACCAAATGACAAAGCTGTGTTCCTCTATGGTTTTTTTCGTGTAAAAAAATTACAAAATTATTAATTTAAAAAATTTATTTAATTTTTAAAATATCTCAATTTTACCATTTTAAAAATATTTTTCAGTTCAATAACCAATAGCATTGGTTTTAAATTCTCTACCCAAATCAAAATTAACATTAATTTTTTAAAAATTATTTATTTAAAAAATATATTTTTAATTAAATATTATTTGTAAAAATATTTTAAATCGAATTTCGTCTTAAGCCTCAAAACGTGTTGGGTCAGCCCTGGACCCCTAGTTAAATGGGAGCCGCCTAAGTCAGGTATGGTGAAACTTAATGTGGATAGGGCTTGCATTGGAAGTGTTTTAGTAGATTGTGGAGGATTGGTCAGAGATAAAGGCAATTGTTGGCTGAGAGGTTTCTCCAAGAATGTGGAGAGTTGTAGTAGTTGTATGGCCGAATTATGAGGCATTTTTGAAGGGTTGATGTTTACCTTAGACTTGAGATTCAGGAGAGTCGAAGTTAACAAAGATTCTTCTGAGATTGCTATGGATCTTAATCTTGGTAGATCTAGCAGGAGTGATGGGTTAAAGATAATAAGAAAGATTGAGATTTTAACCTTAGTAGATCTAGCAGGACTGACAAGTTTAGAGAAACTAATAAGTACTCTGATACCTTGGCTAAAGTCGGGTGTAGATTGAGTTCATATATGTTTTGTTTCTCCTCTGCATCTAGTTTTATTGAACAATTACTTGAAAGAAATTGTAAAATATAACTTGAGGGATTTCACCTTTAGAAAGGTGTTTTTGTAGTGTTTTTTTTTTTTTGCCTTTGGCCCTCACTAGTAAAAAAAATAAAATAAACATCTTCCTATATACAACCTTTTTTTTAAAGAAAAATATCATAAAATTGTGTAATTCCAAAAATTTACTACTATGAACAATTTGTTTACCCCAATATATATATATATATATATATATTATATATATATATATATATATATATATATATATATATATATATATATATATATATATATATATATATATATATATATATATATATATATATATATATATATATATATAAAGGTTTTGGATCTGATAAGCTATTTTAATATAGCATCCAAATTATTTTACCTGTTTTAATGAAAAAGGAGATGCCCGTGAAACAGAAAAATTATTCAAACAATAATCGCCATTTTTAAACAATTAATTGTGCCCCACGAGGACTAATCTGTAAATACCACATGCAATGAGCCAACGCGTTTGACTCTACCTAGATTCGGGAGCCATCACCAATCCATATGCACTTAACTAAACTCTTAACAATGCTAGTGGAGAAACGAAACACTAGCATGTCTATATAAATGGAAAATATTAACATACATTCAATTCAAGTACCTTTCCTTCTTCAATGGCTTCTCTCATCACCTTCCTTAAGCGAACCTCTTCTTCGTCATCATCATCATTTGCAGTTGCATGCCACCATTCTATCATCATGAGAAGATTCCTAACAACAACAACAGCAACCAGTGTTGATTCTTCATCTTTTGCTCAGAGAATCAGAGATTTGCCTAAAGATCTTCCTGGTACCAATATCAAAAAACATGTTTCTCAGGTAAATTATAACTCTCTCACTCTCTCTGATTTTTCATTACAACAACATAACATGCAACTTTGTTTCATATTTGGAGTAACTCAAGCATCTTCACCCAAACTTGTTTTTCTGTTTCTGTTCAGTGTTCACTCATATCATGCCACGTGTACGGCTTAAATTTCACTCTATCCTAATTTTTGTTGCTGATAGATCTTTATAGTTCTATAGCTTAATTTTGTTTTAGCAAAATCATCATCATTCTCATGAAAAATCCCAGTTATAATTTCTATGTTCAATTTTATTGATGTTTCTGCCATATGTTTATTAATAGAATCACAAGATGTAAACAGAAAAAATTATAAGAGAATTAATTTTCAGCTTTTACTTAACTTTTTTGAAATCAGATTTTGTGCAGAGTTACTGATATCGATCGTCTGATTAAATCAATGTCACTTACAGAATCGTCTTTCAGGCGTGCAAGACCCAAAATTTGTAACAATTAAAACGAAGTTAAATAGGGTCTTTATTTATTTTGTCATAGTTAAACTGCGATTAATTTGCATATAGCTTCCAAAAAATTGAGATTGCCCTGGTCAGATTATTTAAAGTTTATATGGTGAATGTGTAATATGAAGAACAATTGATTTTTCAGTTAATTGGGAGGACTCCATTGGTTTACCTTAACAAAGTTACTGAGGGCTGTGGAGCATATATTGCTGTAAAGCAAGAGATGATGCAACCTACTGCAAGCATCAAAGACAGGTTACCTTACCTCTCTCTATTTCTATTTTCTTTTCTTGAATCTACTTTATAGCAATCAATAATCATATTATATAGCTCACCTCTCAAGGGCTCAGGTTCGAAATTCAAATACTGCTAATTGTTAACAATCTCTGGGTTAGATCAGTCCACACAGAGCAAACTCTGGCTTTAAATGGGGCCTCTGCTAATGGACGGTGGGATTGGTCCCCTTGGATTAGTCCACAGCAAGGCTGAATACCATGTTTTCAAAAATAAAATCATATATAGTTCAAGTTCTTAGCATAACTTCTGTGATTTTCTTGAATTTCGACAGACCGGCACTTGCTATGATGGAAGATGCTGAGAAAAAGAATCTGATAACTCCTGGAAAGGTTAGTTGAATTGAATCATAACAACGATTTGGCTCGGTTGTTTACGTATAGATTGATGCTGAACGTTTGAGTTAATTCACTATGTAGACTGTTCTGATAGAGCCAACATCGGGCAACATGGGGATCAGTTTGGCATTTATGGCTGCCATGAAGGGATATAAGATGGTTTTGACTATGCCTTCTTACACAAGCTTAGAAAGAAGGGTTTGTATGAGAGCATTTGGAGCTGAGTTGGTTCTCACTGATCCAACTAAAGGAATGGGTGGAACAGTTAAAAAGGCTTATGATCTTTTGGAATCCACACCAGATGCTTTCATGCTGCAGCAATTTTCCAATCCAGCCAATACTCAGGTAAGGTTAACAGAACTTAAATTACTATTTCGATTTGGAAAAATCACTACTGTTTCGCGATATGCCTTCAGTACAAGTTTTTTCATATAGCGGTTATAGCAGAGTTCAAACCAATTGCTATTTTTCACAATCTGTGGTTGGCAATACATGTTTGAATTCTATTGCTGGAAAAAACATGTGTAAAACTATGCTTATGCTATTGTACTTGTGTAATGTTTGGTTAAAATATATTTCTGAGATCCGATATTTTGGCGAATTTATAGCTAATTTACTATGAAAACCGAAAACAGGTGCATTTTGAAACAACAGGTCCTGAGATATGGGAGGATACAAACGGACAAGTGGACATATTTGTTATGGGAATAGGTAGCGGCGGCACAGTTTCCGGGGTCGGACAATATCTTAAATCCCGAAACCCCAACGTTAAGGTGATTTTCTTCATATCACAATTAAAATTACAAACTAAAAAGTGTTCTGTTAGATACTCTTAATGAATCCTTTGAAATGTTTTTAAATCTTATTAGATATATGGAGTGGAGCCATCTGAAAGTAACGTGCTCAATGGTGGCAAACCAGGTAAATATCATTGTTCATTTCTTAGTCATTTTGGCATCGGCGAAGTGACTTATATGAAATATAGATGTAAAAGGCTGTTAAAATAAGGGTAGAAAGTAATGAAAATAGTTATTGCAAATTCTGATGTTGTCCATATATACAGGTCCTCATCATATAACTGGAAATGGTGTTGGATTCAAACCAGACATATTGGACATGGATGTAATGGAGAAAGTTCTTGAAGTAAGTATATATTATTACTTTCTTCTACATAGAGATTTAGCTTGGAAGCTTTGTGTTTTTCCTAACTGTCACAAACTTACGTCGATGTAGGTTAGCAGTGAAGATGCCGTTAACATGGCTAGGACATTGGCCGTGAAAGAAGGACTCATGGTAATCTTGAAACGTCAATTTTGCTCACTTTTTGAAAAAAGAAATTCATGATAAAACTTCAAATTTTATTCATTCACATATGATTCTTAACTAACTGGCAATGAACCATTCGCGACTGCAAATTGAACTTTCATATTTTAACTCTTTTTCTTTCTAATTTTTCTAGGTTGGCATATCGTCCGGAGCTAACACGGTTGCAGCACTTAGATTGGCTAGTCTTCCTGAGAATAAAGGAAAACTCATTGTGGTAAGAACAAATTTCATTAAAAGAGCATCAAGCTAAATGTGTAAGGTTGAGTGCCATTCATCAAACTCATTATGCAAGCAATGAAACTTCTCACTTTTTTCATCACAATCTAACTAAAGATTCTGTAAAAATATGCTCAGAACTGTGATTTTAGGCCTAAAACTTGTTTCTAATATTGTCAAAATTGTTGATGACTTGAATTTCAGACTGTTCATCCAAGTTTCGGGGAACGATACTTGTCATCCGTCTTGTACCAGGACCTTAGGACAGAAGCTGAAAACATGCAGCCCGTGTCCGTCGATTAATTTCTTCCACGAGTTCCGATACAACTAGAAAGCTTTGTTGTGGAGTTACATGGATCAATTGGTTGTTGATGTTGTAGCAAAAAAATTCATGTTCAGCTTACAATTCTGCCATAGTAAAAAATGTCAGCCAAAGCTATGTTTTTTATATATCTCATAACTTCTTGTCATAATGCTTTGTAATGTTTGTTTGATTTTAAATTGGAAGAAAGTATATATTTTTCAATATGATGATGTACATTGTGTTTTCTTTTGGCACATGATGTGTACACTCAGTTATCTAAAGCAGACCAATCCATGTGGTATGCAGTGTCAAATTTCTATCTAAAGTATATATTTAGGTGCATAAGGCATTTTGGTTTTGCTGCATTGATCAGAATTTAACAAACAATAATAAAAATTGTTGTAAGTGTAGCTCATTCACCTCTATACGTAAGGAACTTTCCTATGTAAGCCTAGTATAGCATGTTCAACTTTTCATGTATTTGTTCTTTCTTCACATTGCTCACATGCCCTACATAATGTCCTTTTAAAAGTAATAAAATTTGGACATCAATAAAACTTGGGAACTAGTTAAAAGTTTTAAACATCGTGTTGAAGATGTACTAAATATGAATTTGTTTTTTGTCCTCCCATTGTATCGGAGAAAAAACATCAAAGTACTTTTTTTTCCAATTATATACTAAAGTATCATCATTTTAAAAAAATTTCGTTTTTATTATAAAGCAACCGTGCATTGCTTTGTAAACGTAAATAATCTAAAAACCACCTATTGAAAGGGCGGTAAAAGTAAATAATTTGAAAACCACCTGTTAAAAGGGCGGCAGTGTGTAACTAATTAGAGGAATCGTTTTTCTTACAAAGCAACCGTCCATTACTAATTAGAGGAATCGTTTTTGTTACAAAGCAACCGTCCATTACTTTGGTGGAAGGTTATAAGTAATCTGAAAACCGCCTATAAAAAAGGCGACAATGTATAACTAATCAGAAAAACTACCTATTAAATCGGCTGCAATATTATAAATAATATAATATTAATCATTTTTATTAATTTTAATTGATTATAATTATTTGTATTTAATTATATGCTTATAATTAAAGCTATATTTAATTAATAAATAGAATAACAACTATCTTTAATCAAAATCATCGGAAACTTAACTCTCACCTGATGGGTCAACATTTAATACTTTTTGTAAGCAAGGATCCTTCCATCAGAGTGGACGTTTGTATTAGTAAAATTGTTTTTGAATACAAATTCACTCCGTCATTCAGGAAAACATGGATTGCAAGGAATAAAGTAATTGAACAAGGTATATGGTAACTAGGAGAATTCATACAAAGAACTTCCACATTACTCGTTAGCATTTAAAAAATTTGTTCTTGGTACAATGGTAGAAGTGGAAACATTATCCATATATACAAACGACGACACTATTGTTGAAGGGAAACACATCTTCCATCAGCTATCATGGACATTCCAACCATGCATTAGAGGCTTCGCATATTGCAAGCCTATACTTCAAATTGATGGAACCTGGTTATATGATAAGTATAAAGGGACGCTACTTATGAAAATATCACGTAATGGCAATAGTAATATTTTCCCAATTGCTTTTACTCTCGTGAAAGGTGAGACGATTGAAGGTTGGGAGTTCTTTCTACAGAACTTGAGAAGACATCTTACTCCTCAAACTGGTCTGTGTTTGATTTCAGACAAACATGCATTGATTGAAAGTGCATACAATAATCTAGATAATAGTTGGCATAATCTGCCATATGTGCATGTCTACTGTATCATACACATTGCGCAAAATTTCATGAGAAAAGTTATGGAGAGAAACCTCCAAAATAAAGTTATTAACATAGGTAAGTATCTATCTATTTACTAACATTATATCGAGTCAATTATATATTGTAACATTAACCTATTTTTTAACATATATAGTAGGCTTTAAACCAACCAAAATTTCACTATTACCAGAATGAAATTGGCATGGCTAATGGTGATGCTTTAAGGTGGGTAGACAATATTTCAGTAAAAAAATGAACTAGGGCATTTGACGGGAGTCGCCGTTGGGGTCACATGATAACGAACCTCGTCGAGTCAGTGAATTCAGTCTTTAAAAGCACCTGTTATCTGCCCATTACAACATTGGTAAATCCATCATACTATAGACTAGAATCACTATTTTCTAAAAGGGGTGAACAGTGGAGTGCAGTGTTAAAATTTGGACAAACATATACAGACAATTTCATTAAAGCGATGAAAGAACAAACAACAAAATTCAACATGCATCAGGTAACAATTTTTTTACTACAATTAAAACACTTTCAGTGCGAAGCAGACAATCGACCACAATGAAGGGAAGCCCATGGGACATTACAAGGTCAACCTAATAAATGGTTGGTGTGACTGTAGAAAATTTCAGGCATATTGTGTTCCTTGTTCACATGTTATTACTGCATGTTCTATGGTGTGCCAAGACGCCTATACTCTTTTGTCCAACGTTTACAAGGTCGCAAACCTATTTGGGGTTTACAATATAAGTTTTACAGTGCTGCCATACGTTGAATATTATCTCATTTATGAAGGAGATCAAATTTGTCATAATCCAAGAATGCAGAGGAATAAGAAAGGCTGCCCAATGAGCACACGTATTAGAACAGAAATGGACATGACGCCCAATGAGCACACGTATTAGAACAGAAATGGACATGACTGATAAGTTGGAGAGAAAATTTTCCATGTGTCGTCTTCCTAATCACAATCGAACTCGGTGTCCCAATGTTGAAACTAGGAATAATTAACTTATTATTTTGTTATCAAGTATCATTTTCAGATTGCCATCAAGCTTCTCAATTATTTTAATTAAGTAACAAATATAAATGACAAGAATCCAGATAACACAAAACAAACGACAACAAGTCTAAAATAATAACACATATAACAAATATCAAAACAGGTAAAAAGTACTTAACCACAACATTTAAACACAATATTTCTAATTGATATCAATTGGTCCAAACATCATTTCCCTAGCATCCTTATCATTTCTAACTCGCAGCCACCCATGTTGGGTATTGTATCTCTCAATACTTCTAATTTTTTTTTGGCTTCAATGTCTCAATATAAGAAAAAAAATCAAGTTCCTTTGTAGTTACTCGAAACTTTGGATGTTTCAAAAGAGAATCTCCATCGGAGGCTTGTCTCTCGAATAAATCACATTCCCTTTGCAGCGGAGAATCATGTTAGCACTATTAGAAGAAAATGAGAATTGATGTGAACAAATAGATCACACCACACCTCTATTTATATTATATCCACCACGTGGATCCTCCAAAAAAATTGACAGACCTATTATAAATAATTCAAAGCATTCATCCGTTGTAGTGACGGAGCTGTACTTAAATAATAAAGGCTTAATATCCTTTTTGGTCTCCTACCTATGCCTCGGGGTCTATTTTGGTCCTCTTCCTTTTAAAAGTTTCAAGTTGGTCCCTTACGTTGTCTAACAGAATCAAGGTGGTCCTTTCTGTCAAAAACTAGATAACGACGTTAATTTAGATGACGTCGAAGCTGAGGTGAATTGGTGGAATATCTATTCATCCCCTTCTTCTTCCTTGTTGCTGAAACACTTTTCTATTTTCTCCCAAATTCAGCTCTAACTCAAAATGATTCCCAAAATCCCCTAAGTGAAACCTAAATTATCATCTAATCATGAGTTCAATGTGCGGTTCATCATCATCATCTAAAAACCGAAGTGATTCGCAGATCTTTAACAGCTCTAATCTTTCATGGAATCTTATATACGGTTGTCCTTGGCTGAATTCCTTGAGTTGGTGTTTGGGGATTATTACTTCAATAATTGAATGAATACTTTATTTTTTATTCTTTGCATCAACATCATCATCATTGGTTAGAGTTCCCGCCATCAATTATACTCATTTTAATCGAAATGCTTAAGATAATGAACTGAATTTCAATAATCTAATTTGCACTGTGATCTCCAGATTCCATGAGTTCATGTTAAATCTTTATTTTATTTTCATTAATTAAAGGAATTTCACTGACTGATCTTTACAATCTCAAATGCCAGACTGAGGATTTACTCATTCATTCAGGTATGCAGAAAATGTATTCAATAGCATACCAACTTATCAGAAACAATACCTTACTAGTAATATATTGAATTCATTTTCTAAACAACTTTTGTTGTATCATGTAAGAACAAGTTGTGAAGCTGAACTGCTACTTGGCTTAATAAAGTATCATGCAAGCCTTATGGATAACTTGCATACAATTTATAAATAGCTAATTGGGACTTTTTAGTTGACAGTACCAGTTAAATATTTATTCATTATGTTAGACAACATTAGTACCAACTTAAAATTTTTAAAAAGAAGAGGAATAAAATGGACCCGATTTGTCCATTAGAATAAAAGAGTTGTACTTAAATAATAAAATAATCAAAATATTTATTTATTGCAATGACAAAATTATACTTAAATAATAAAATAATTAAAACATTTGTCCATCATAGTAACAAAGTTGTATTTTTTTAATAAAATAATCAAAGTATCTGACAATTGCAGTGACATAATTGTATTTTTTAAAATAAAATAACTATATTTATATGAATGAATTTAAATTATTTAAAATTAATATATTATAATTAAAATCTAATTAACATATATTCATTACTAATTAAAATATAAAAAATTATTTAATTAAAATAATTACATACATAAAAGTAAATTTAACTTATTTTATAATAACTTCAAAATTAATTAATTAATATATATTCATTATCAATTTTTATATTTATTTAAATACATTAAGTAGCATATATTCGTTATTATATTAAATTAAAAAAATATGTTTTATAAGGTGTCGCCCATTTAATAGAATGGGCGAGTATTATAATATTTATAAATATATTTCTTTTAATTATAGTAGTTTGAAAAATATAATTGGAAATGACCGATGTTATGAATAATTG